CACAGGCACAACAGATAAGAACATTTTCTAATACTAAAATTTTAATTTAAATATTCAATTACACAACAGACAATAAAGTTCAGCTTCCTGACAGCCTGGAGGATGTGGCTGGGGGGAGATAATTTAGCTTCCTAGAAGAAAAAAAGAAAAGATTCTGTATGTCATTATAATCATAAACTCTCTCAAAAATCTTTATTTTAAGAGACAAATTCAAAATATGGAGAAAGATTCTCATTATTTTAAGATAAGTTAAACTTAAATTATAAATATTAAGAAAGTTTGTCATTATAATGACTTACAGAATCTCTTTTTTGTCACAAATGAGCTTCCATACCTCTCTTAAGCAGTAGGTGGCGGTGGAAATTGTTTGCGACCCGCCCGTTAAGAAGAAGAAGAAGAAGAAGAATGCTACAGGAAGCAGAGGGAGCTCGTCCTCACAGCGCCAATAAAGACAAAGTGTGTCTCTAACGGACTCAAAGTGTCCACATCGAGCTGTCTGAAGAGACTCTGTGCTCAGTGTAGCTGGAAATAGACCGATGTGATTGAATGTATGAACACATCGGTCCTGTGAATGAGTGAAAATGTCTCACAAACTACTGGACGCTGCTTTAAAGCCTGAAGTCCGGATACACGGAGCAGGTTTGTTCGTTTTATTTGTTCTTCTGCAGCTGTGTCGGTATTCACAGCCTTTTACTTCAGTGTAAGTGCCAATACTCCATTAAAAGTCCTGCATTTACAACCTCACCACCAATGGGTTGTAAACGTTTATTTCTGCCATCTTAAATCTCGCATCGTTCTCGTAGGATCTCGCGGTGACAGACACAGCTCATCACTCCAGGACATCTTCACACAGTGCGTGTTCTGCGCTTTTGGATGTATATGGATGATATATGATATGCTTCAAACACGGGAATGATGCAAATCCAAAAACTTACAAACCCACAAAACAAATGCCAAAGAAAAATGCTGCAAATACCAAAAACACACAAAACCCCAAAACAACTGCAAGAGAGAAACGCTGCAAATTC